CCGCCCGCCTCTGTGACCTCACTGTCCCTGGGTCCCCAATTTCCTGAGATCTGTGGGGCAGAGGACGCAGGGCCCCAAGAGGCAGGGGCGCCAGGAGAGCACCACCGGCCACCCACCCACCCACTCCAGCAAAACGTTATGTTTGCTGTGAGCCAATTAAACATCTTCCGCAGCAAGCCCGCCCCGCCCTGTCCAGATGTTCCCCTTGGAAAACCCCGCACACCCCAGACGTCTGCTGACCCCAATACGCAGCGTCCTCCTGCCAGGATCTGCAGGTGGTGGCTGCCTCCTGTCCCCCACGTGGTGACCCACATCACCCACAGGGACCCCACACCACCCTACACAGCTGGGACCTGGGATGGGGGTGGGGAGGTGGGGGTGGGGGAGGAGGCACCACTAGGGCCCATCCTTCATTGTTTTCCAGGCACAGGGAGAAACAATTAAGATTTGGCTGGAAGACACCCTGCCCCCCACCCCCATCATCTTTGAATGGTGGGGCGGCCAGCCTGGAGGCTGGGAGAAGAAGCCAAAGCAGTCAGCCTTAGCTGGTGTCCCGGTAGCCTCTGGATGTGCCTCTGTCCCTTGGCCCCTGGCCCCTGGCCAGGCCTCTGGAAATGCCCCTTCCCTGTCCGGGCCCCTGGACACACCCCTCCCCCAGGCCTCCTCCTGTGGGGCCCTCCTTTTAGTCCCCCTTCAGAGGGAGGCACCCCTCACAATACCTGACCTGGGTCCTGGCCCCACCTGCCTGCTGCCATTGCAGGAGGGGACCTTTTCTCTGGGCCAGGAGGCCCCCAGCCCAGTCACCCGGGGGGCCCTGGTTTAGATAGGCCCCTTAGGGGAGGCCCCAGCCCCTCCTCTCTCCTTTTGGGGTCCCCAGGGAATGAATACGTATTGGTGGAGATGGGCAAAGGGAGGGAGGGAGAGCTGTTTTTCAGGGGGACTGCTGAAGTCTCTCCACAGAGGATCTAAAGGGGTTGGGGGCAGAGCCCCTGGGCCCCACTCTTGGTGGGCAACCCCAGATGCACCCACACTGGTTTCTTGTGTTTAGACAGAACACTCCCCACCAGGTGATCATCTCTGAGGCCCTGTCCAGCAGCGTTAAGGGTGACCCTCTTGGACCTGACCAGAACTGCCAGGTCCCTGGGCCTCTGGGGGTCATTGAGGAAGAAGCGGAGGGTGGCAAGAGCCGAAGTCACACTGTCTGGCCACCCAGAGAAAGCACCGGGGACCCCCACAGATTCATCAAGACCACTCAGCACTCCCCTATCCCCCACCCCCGCTGAGGGCACAGGGTGCTGGCTGCCGCGGACAGTGGAGGTCCCGGTGTACTTGCTGTGGATTCCTGGAATCCCAAGTGGAAAGCAGGCTGACCACAGCACGCCCCACAGCTGAGGGTGCCTGGTGCCCCTGAGCTCCTGGGACACCCCCACCCTTGCTTCCCAGAGGCCTTTGCGGGAAGGGGCCAGGGTCGCCTGGAACAAGAAGGGGGGTGGGCAGAAGTGTCGTGGGGAGAATGGCATGTGAGCTGAGGCTGCTTCCTCCTCTGTGGGCCCTACCTTAGGGTCCCTGCCCTGGAGTCACAGAGATGGGCTGGCACAGGGCCCCCTTAAAGGATTTATAAACCCTCACCCACCGAGATCTGACTCAGGAACAGGAACCATAGTCCCACTCACCTCCCCACCCACCCCAAGAGACCTTGAGCCACCGGGCATGTCACCAAGAGTCAGTTTCTTCGGCTGCAGGTTGGCGGGTGGGGGGATGCAGGGTGCTGGGACAGGCCCCCTCCTGCTGGAAGGGGACTGGAGACCCTCGGCTCTGGAGCCCTGTGTAAGGGGATTCCAGGCCCCAGCTCCATCAGCTGGCACCCTGAGGCCCCTTCGGCAGGAGTTTCTGCCTGTTACCCAGCCCAGCATCCCTGCCTGCACCGTGGCTTCCAGGGGCTGGTGGCACCAGGGTGGAGCACCCATCCTGCACACCCTCGTGCCAGAAGGCTACAGGCCTGGAGAGGTACAGAAGTGGCAGTGGCTCCTTGCCGGCCTCCAGCTGGGGACCCCGAGGCAGGGACCGGTGGGCGCGGCGCTCACCTCAGACCAGGGGCTGGTGTACCACTTGAAGCATGGCCTCTCAAAGCAGGTGCTCTCCTCAGCGGGCTTCCTGGCCAGGCCGCACTCCGGCCCGCTGCGTGGCTGCGGCTGCCCGTTGGCTAGCTCCATGCACAGGACCAGCCGCCTCTTCACGCCCCGCCCGCAGGTGGTGTTGCACTGAAGCAAGGGGCAGGAGCAGGCTGGCGGTCAGCACCGGAGGCCACAAGGCCAGCTCCCCTGGGCCCCCACGAGACCCGGGCCCTCCCACTGTCACCAGTGGAGTAGGACTCACAGGGAGAGTAGGACTGCCCCTGGGGGTGGGGGGTCTCTGAGACTGTAAGTCTTAATGGGAGCAGACTGCCTCGTTTGTCTCCCTCGGAGCGGCTGGTGGTTTCAAACCGCTAACCTTGCAGTTAGCAGCACTGCCAGGGCTCCTTGGTCTAGAGCCATTTAGCTTCCAACCACGTGTGTGGCCCCGGCGGATGTGACCAAGGGGAGCAACTGTTTCCAGGCCAGCGGGCCCTGCTGGCTGCCAGCTCGAGGTGACCCTTCGGAGGACAAAGTGCCGGGGTGCCAGGGCAGTGAC